TATTTTTTTAGAAATTGATGACCAGAACACGGCATTGAGAAGTGCTACCGAAACCCTGGCATCAATTGAAAATATTAGTGCGCAAGCCACAAACAGACTAGCCGCTGCTATAGAGGCCTTAGCGGCAAGGCTTAAGTCCATACGCATAGTCTTAGAAGATTCGCGTAGGTACATCGCAAATGGTGATTCAAATGTTAATTTTTTTTACTAAGGCATAATTATTGATTTGCAATTTTTTATATTAATATATCTTATTTGTTTTCAGGTACACCATAGACGGAAAAGAAACCGCATAATCTATTCCGATAGTGAATAAATTTTTATTCACTATCGTAATCGATTATCTTTATATTTTTTCGATTAGAATTAGGTTTTCAATATTATTATGTAGGTTGTGATTAGTATATAGATATATGATTAGATTAATAATTAATAAAAAGATTTAAATACAACATTTTTTTTTATTAAACAATTATTAGTATGATCTCTCCACAATCCAATGTCTCAACTAGTGCTCTTTGTAAAAGTCTTCCTCGATGGAGATCAGGGTTAACAAGGTGGTTAGGTTCCAGTTCCAGTCCCTGTGCTGATGCTACACTAATTTCTCCTTCAATCTGTAACAATAGTTATAATTTAAATTATCGTCATCATCAGCTTAAGAAACGTTCCCATTACTGGGGCACAGGCCTTTCATCATATTAGGAGAGTACAGACTCCACCAGCCAACGCAGACTGGCAGACTTCACATGCCTTTGAAATTATTTTCCGGCCTCCAATTAGTACTTGTTCACGTTGACTCGCGGGCGCGGTGGCGGGCGCGGTCACGAAATATCAAACATATCGCACGCTGAGAACGAAAGTGACCTATTTCAAAATTTTGATAAAATGAGTTAATTATACGTAATGACTCAAAAAAGTATACGCTACCACACTAGTATTAAAAAACGGACCTAATATGGTCAGAGAGAGCTAGGACACATATTCGGTCTCTTTTTAGTAGACCGCTTTACACGCGCCGCGCCCGAGGGAAAGAGACGTAATCAGTATTGTACCGCACGTGATGTAAACAGGTCGTGACGAGTTTAGTGCAGCAGTGACCGATTACGCTTTGAGCCTGTTTTGTATCAACTTAGGAGGTAAGTTTTGTTTCAATATTTAATCATAAAGTGACCGATTGAGACAAAGGTCACTTTACCTTTTCTTATATAAGCAACTTATGTGTCCAAAATCAAGTTCAGTCACTTATTTATTCACGTATAAGTTTAACTCAAAGACTCATTGTAAATTAGGTTATTTTAATATTAAATAGATATTTTTTTATTTGTACTATTATAAAAAAAGACTCTTTAACATTATTATGATGTGTTTTACAAAAGACATATTGATTAATAGTTCACTTTATTGTTTTTCAGAGTTGCATAATATCATAATTAAGCCTGTTATCTAAAAAGATAAAAATGAAAAGGAGTGCATTAATACTTCAAATGGTGGACGAAAAACAAAAAACCGAGGTAATTAATTATTTTTTATTTAATTAAAGTATTGAAATGTTTAATTAGCCGTTATTTATTAAGTACCTAAACGTTTTATATTCTCGTTTTTTATCATTACGTATGTACAGAATGGTTGTAAACTAAGATTTTGTTTGCAGAATACTAATGAGGCTTGTGATATCGACAAGGAAAATGTACCATCTAGTCCTTCTATTATAGAAAATTCACCACCACCAGACCAGGGCATTCAAATAGCATTACGCGAAAACAAGATATTGAAACCGATAGGTGTAAGTGTTTCATTATTTTTATTAGCGGTGTGAAACCTCATACCTATTTAATTAGATTTTGTAATCTTTATCTTTTTTCCAGGATGTTCAGAATCCTCAGCAAGAGATAAATGATGCATCAGAAACTATCGATAAGACGTCAAGTAAAGTGTTTGCCGTCCGGCCACGTTCAAGAATTTCAAGTAGTAGCAGTTCATCCTCATCTTCATCTTCATCCTCGAGTAGATCTTCATCCTCCAGTAGCAGATCTTCATCCTCCAGTAGCACGGACAAATCTGAGACTGTAGCAATTCCTGGCCCAAGTACTAATTTAAGGCCTCAAGCAGGTATTCCACGTTCGTACACTCAATCGCCAGTTAATCCACAAGAAAGTGATGTGGATCTAAGCGACTCAGATCCAACATACCATACTGAACAATCCAACAATCCAAGGAGTAGACGTATTTCCAGCTCTTCATCTGCCAATTCATTGGTCCAACCAGAACCCTCAAAGAGTAGAAAACGAAAAAGGAACCCTGTTAATTGGAAGCAAAACCAATCTAAAAAGTCAAGAAACTCTGGAGAGAGTTATAGGTCTATGGCAAAATCTAAAAAAGTCATTCCAGCTAGACAAATCAAAGAAACTTGTACAAGTAAGTGTAGGCTTAAGTGTTTCAATAATATAAATGAGACTGAGAGATCTGAATTATTTAAGAATTATTGGGCTTTGTCCAATTTGGAATTACAACGTTCATATATTAGGGCATCCATGATGGAAGTACAACCTAGATATAGATATTCTAATGCTCAAAATCCTCGCCTGCCAAACAATGCGTTTTATTTCACTGTAAATGGTAATAGAATTCGTGTTTGTAAACAATTTTTTATAAATACTTTAGACATATCGGATAGACAACTAAGAACTGTCAAGAGTAAAACTAATAGCCATGGTTTCGTAGAACCTGAGGGTAGAGGTCGGCATGAAAACAAAAAAAGGGTAGACCCTGAGCTAATACAATGCATCAAAAATCACATAAATACGATACCGAGGGTCGAGTCTCATTATTTAAGAGCTACGACTAGTAGGGAATTCATATCTGACAGTAAAACTATCAGAGACCTCTGGACTGATTTTAATAATGAACAAAAAGACAGAAGTCTCCCGCAGTGCGACTATTGGTTATACCTGAACACTTTTAATAAAGATTTCAATATAAGCTTTTTCCAGGCGAAAAAAGATAGGTGTGAAACGTGTGTTGCATATGAACTTGCCCCCGCAAGTACGAAATTACTGCTAAAACCTAAATATGATACACATCTTAAAGAAAAAGAACTGTGTCGCAATGAAAAACGGATGGATCGTCAAAATATTGATGAGACACATATTTGCGCAATATATGACCTTCAGTCTGTTATGTTATGTCCTAGTCCTGATTATTTTTACTATTCTTCCAAAATAAACTGTCTTAATTTTACAATTACACAATTAAAAAATGGGGAGGATGATAAAAAGTCTTACGGAGATGTTTATTGTTATTTTTGGGATGAAACCCAAGGCCAAAGAGGTGCCAATGAAATAGGTTCGTGTATTTTTGATTACCTTAGTACTTTAAACAGAAATAACGCAGGTAAGAAGTTACATGTAACTTTTTACTCTGACAACTGCACAGGTCAAAATAAAAATAAAATCATTGCCACTTTATACTCCTATGCTGTCACATATTTTGATAATATTTACAGTATTACTCATAAGTATCTAATCAAAGGACATACTCAAAATGAAGCTGATAATGTACACAGCTTAATTGAAAAAGAAATTAAAAAAAACATTAAAGCTGGACCCTTATACATACCTGTTCAATTCGCTACCTTAATTAAAAGCGCTCGTAAATCAGGAAAGCCTTTCATCGTTAAAGAAATAAATTACGAATTTTTCTTAAATCTCAAAAAACTCCAAGAACAATGGGCATACAATTTTAACGAAAATATAAATAAATTACCAGTATTGTGGAATGAAATTAAATCAATAAAATTTATTAAAGAGGAGTTGTTTCACTTGTATTATAAAATATCATATTCTGATGAGGTGTTCTCTGAGATTGACATGAGGAATAAACGTAAAAAAATGTTAAGTTACAACGAAATCCTGATTGAACAATTGTATAAGCAACCAATAGAGTTAAAAGAAAATAAAAAAAGAGATCTTAAAGATTTAGTAAGAAAAAATTTAATACCTAGCATATATGCGAGTTTTTATAATTCCTTATAGATTAATCGTTGTAATAACAAAGTTAATAATAAGTGATTCTTAAAAAGCTAATATACTATGTATCGTACTTAATAATAAGTGATTCTTAAAAAGTTAATATACTATGTATCTTAAAAAATAAATAGTATGTTTGAATAGTAATTATAGTAGTGGAGAGTAAGTACAAAGTTCCTAAGTTATATTTTGGAAGACTGTTGTTTTATTTTAGACTAGTGTTGATTTAAGAGAAACCTGTTTTAATTTGTTACAAAAATAATTATTTTATGTTATTTTTTTCCAATTTAAGAATGTTTTTATAATTAGTTTAAGTCAGAACAATACTTTTGTGTGGAGTCATTACTTGATTTATGAAACTAAGTCATGAATAAATGAAAGACTGTGTTGATTTTTCTATGCCAGTATTATTTTGAAAAGTTGTCTTTTTTTTACTAAACCTCTAGTAAGTTAGAACAATACTCACTGTGTTGTATGATACCTATTTTTGATACAATTTTTAATTATTATTTCATATTTCTTGTTTATATATTATTATTAAGTCTATTTTACCTCAGAAGTGACTCAATATCACTTAACAATTTTTCATTGTTTTCATTTTGTCCTTTTGTGTAAGACTGCAAACCTTTTTTAGAGAAAAAGTGTCATTTTTTGAAAAAGGATTGATATTTTTTAGTACTGCTCAAAATAATATAGACCCTTGACCAAAAAAGTCATCAGGAATTACAATACTTTCAATTCTAAAGTGACCTATTTTTTTAAAAATGTTATTCTATATTATAAATATAAAATATAAAAAAAAATAATAATGTATATTTATGGTAATGAAGTCCAATAATGATACAAAAACGATTTTTTTAACTTATGTTGTCATAATATTAATTTATTGGCGAATAAATGGAATATCGTGAATGTGTCCGACACATTTTTATCTATTTCCAAAAATCGTAAATTTTGAAATCGGTCACTTTCGTTCTCAGCGTGCGATATGGCGTAGTATCCAAGTGTTCACGTACGAAACGCACGTGCGGTCTAAGTAGCGGGCAAGCTAGCGGCTGGCGCGCGCGCGCCGCTCGCGGCAATATCAAATGCGTGAGATGTTTGTGTGTGTTCACGTCGAACTAGCGGCGGAGCGCGCGATTCACTCGCGACGTCAGGTAAGTTCAACCAGTATGAACTTGTCGCTTGAAACGTTAGCGCGTCTTCATCATGTCTTTCAATACAGAAGAGTTTATTAGTGCTGTTCAGCCTAGAACTCCGATTTGGCAAAGCAAACACAGCCATCACATGAACAGAAATATTCTCAATAAGTTATGGAAGGAAATTGCGGAATTGTTTCCTGATATGGAGGGTGAGTAAATGAAATATTGTGGGTATTTTAAACCTTTTATTTTTATATAGGAATAGAATATCATGATAGACTACTAAAGATACAAAAATATTAAAAAGATGGCGACGTATATATTAAACGATTGTTCTGCCAAAAATATTTCGTGAATAAACTCCGAATTTGTTTAGCTCGATTTGATAGATTGTTGTTTCTTCCAGTTTGTCGCCTTTGGTGCCGAGTTTCAGTTGCTAACTCCTCATTGCAATTGTAACCATCTATATCAATTACAATATTATGCAATAAGCAAGCGGTTTTTATGATCAGGCGTGCATGTTTAACATCAGTTTCAATAGGTTTTAAAAAAACTCGCCATTTATTACATAAAATTCCAAATGCACATTCCACGGTTTTTCTCGCTCTTGACTATCTATTATTAAAATTTTCTCTCTCTTGATTCAATGTTCTTTGTGGATATGGACGCATTAGATACTCTTTAAGAGGATAAGCTTCATCGGCTACTATAACATATGGAGCTGTAATGTTAGAATTGGGTAATGTTCTTGGTTCTGGGATATTGATTGCGCCTCTTTCGAGTAACCGGTTCAGGGACGAGGCGTTGAATGTACCGCCGTCGCTTTGCTTTCCTCTACCTCCAACTTCAATAGTTAAAACTCTTTTGTTCGCATCAGCCACAGCTTGCAAAACAATAGAGAAATAATGCTTGTAGTTAAAAAATGCCGATCCTGATCTTTTAGGTCGTTTAATTCTACAATGTTTACTATCCAAACTGCCAATGCAGTTCGAAAAGTTCCACATTTTTTCAAAATCTGAAGAAATATGCTTAAGCTGGTCATCAGACGGCAGTGGCATATGGACATTCAAATTTTTTTTTCCAAATAGCTTCACAAGTACTATAAATAATCTGAGACACTGTACTAATGCCCAAACGAAAGCTATAAGCCAAAGATCGAAATGCCAACCCAGTGGAAAGATATCTGAAACATAAAAAAATACAATTAGGTATTATGTAAAATTTGAATAGATCTATACTAATTACTTAATATACCTATTAAAATTATATAAGGCATCAACACTAAACAAAATTTATTTTTTACAGAAAAGGCTTTAGGAAAAAAATGGAAGAATATTCGGGACCAATTTATGAAAGAATTTAAAAAAAATCCGGTTTCTCGTTCTGGTGATGCTGGAACTGATCAAAACACTTCAGTGTGGCCATATTTTCAAATGATGCAGTTTATAAAAGATGACGTTACCCCAGAATCAAATGAAGGCAATTTAGATGAAACTACTGATAGAAACTGTAGTGATAATAATGAGCGGTCCCCAACTCCCCAGTCAATAGCTGGTTCATCTACAAGTACACAATATACGAGCAGCAAACGTAAATGTGCACAAGATATAAGAGAGGAATTTATGGAATTGGAGAAGAAAAAGTTGGAATTATTACAAATTAAACTGTCGCAAAGCAGCGAAAGGCAAGAAAAAGATTGCGAAGACTTGTTATTTTTTAAAAGTTTGTTGCCGTACATGAAAGAGTTAACTCCTATACAAAAATTACGTACCTACTAGAAACAAAATTACACAAGTGTCACGACCCTGGCTTACCATGGTTACAATACTTACGAATATAACACATCAAATTATGGAAATTAAACTTTAAATATAATTAACTACGAATATTCTTTTTTTTAAACTCACCTTATAGTTAAAAATAGTCTTTCTTCGGGTTTTATGCTTTTATGAAAATTTGTGTCTTGTTTTGAAATCTCATTATTGAATCCAATATGTAATCAAAACAGTTGACAGTCATACTGGTATATCCAAAAAATCTTGAAGGATGTTCTCTTAAATTATTATATAAAGTATGAAATTCACCGTACCGTTCTCTTTCTTTATTAATTTCGTGCACACCAATTCTAATTTTTATCATCTCCCACTTTAGGTATGAATTTTCGGTTAAAAATAAAAGATCGTCGTCCATGTTTATTATCTCTGACAACACGTCACACCCGCGCAAACGCCTGGCGGCCAATGTGAACACGAACCTGCCACGTCTTCGCGACCGCACCCGCCACCGCGCCCGCGCTTTCCAACGTGAACAAGTACTTATAATCATAGCTAAATCAATAACTGCCTATTCTCTTCAGTGACCGCACCATGACAAAAAGGTATGGAGACTTACTCGATGCTGTTGTTGCCTCTCTGCAAGGGCTTCTTCAGGTGTGAGATGTGGAACAGGTAGTCTGTATTTATTTGCAATATTATGCAACACACAGCAAGCATTCACTATTTTTCCAGCAGTAATTGGATCGTAGTGCAGGGCCCTCGCAGCTAGCAGGCATCTAGTAAATAACAATATGCTTTATCACCTTGCATCATCATTTATTTATTGTGAATTTATATTTATTTAAATACAAAACGTACTCCAATGCAGCGTTCTACAGTATTACGGGCAGTGACATGGAGCTGGTAATATTAATGTTCTGGAGTGCCCTCTACTGTGTTTAATATTGGGGTCATCATATTAGTACGTAAAGGATATACACTGTCACCTTTAAAAAGAAATGTTTACAAATTATATCAAAACTAAGTTGTTCATTATTGGAAGTCAATATTAATATAATATCTTACCCAATAAAAATACATGTTCTCCAGCATTACAACTCAACAAACTCTCTCATGTGATTACAAATAGGACTACTCTGCCATACACTAGAGTCATGGGCTGACCCGGGACTGCTTGCATCCACATACAGAATGTTAAGTTCAGCATCACAAATCTGTAGAAGATACCTAATTGTTAAGTTGTTTCAAAATGAATGTTAAATATTGCTTATTGGTAGGCATCATACCAATAAGCAATCACATACTACTGGACTACTATCTGACTGTTTTCAGTCATAGTGGCATATCAATGAAGATCAGCCACATATGCAAGAGATAATCTAGTGCACTAGTGTGTGTGCGCAAATTAAGATATCATACAATCATAACATTAAGGGTATCCCTTTCTATTAAAATATCGCTCCTCCTGTTCAACCGGTCTCAGGATGGCTATGTGGGTGCCGTCTATGCAGCCTAATACTCCGGGAATCCCAAATTTATAGAACCTACAACATAAAATACCAGTTAGGTGTCATAGTAAACACAATTATAAGTAAATGAAATACCGCATAGTAAGATGCCTACTTACTGTCTCTTAATTTTATTTCGATCTTGAACATGCTTTGGCCAGATGACATATTGCAGGAGGATGCTATTGAGTGCTTCAGTTACTTGCCTCACAGCCCTTGAGACAGTGGTCTGAGACACATTGTGAAAAACACTCTGGCCAACAAGTGTCTGGTACGAGCCTGTGGCATAGAATGCCAGAGCAATAAGTATCTGCAATTGAAGTTCTACATTACACAACCGTCGCTTAGGTACCTTTGCTAAAGAAGAAGCCTGTAATACAATATATATGTCGGAGAAAATGCACCCATTGGGGGTACTTCGTCATCGGATTCTTCGTAAACGCGGTAATTTCGTTACGGGCTGGCAGAACAACCGCTCACCCTCGTGTCCAACTCAAAAGCCTTTCAAATGCCAACATGCCACGCCCCGTACCGACCATCACCCAAGCACACTGCTTGACGTTTCCGACAAATGATAACAGATGGCGTTGTTCTAAAATAACCCTTATTAAAACGCTAGGAGCTATACTTCCCACGTCTCAGATTGAAGTAAATCGTGTTTTATTTTTTAATGCTTAAACCCAATGCAATGTAATATTTATCTACGCAATCTTAACATTTCATAGAACCTTTATTGATGGCAACACTTTTCAGAGAATTATTACATGTCATGGTAAACACACGTCAAAGTCAGTTGACGTGATTTTGTCACCGAAAACGACCGTTATTTTTTAGTTTTTTGTGTAGTGCTGAAAAAAAATTAGGTAAGCAGATTTGAGTTTTAGCTATGTAAATTAGACTATGTTACGGTGCCGTCAAACGTACAATATGCCCAGAATCTTTCGTTTATACCTTGATACAGTCGATTGAAATTGAGTCTCTAAGTGGGAAGATATCATCCCAGTGTTCGTCACTGCACATTACATTCGGAAATTCTATATATATAAAATCTGTTTGTCTAAAAATGCTTAGTATATGCAACTAATTAGTAATTATTCGTTATTTCATGATCAGATAATTAGACAACTAGTTTCAATGTATTAGAAATTATTGTTTTTATTTTGTTTTAGAAAAATGCCTCCTAAAAAAGTAACTGAAAAGTTGATAGAAAACATTTTACAAGAGGATGATTGGTCTGATAATGATTCCGATGATGATTTAGTTTACGGTGATTTTATAATAAGTCCTTCAAGGTCATTTTTGCAACAAAATGAGAAGGATAGAATCGAGATGCGATTGGAAGAGATGTTTGGGATGGATGATTTGGATGACAAAGAACAAGAGGGAACTACAAAAACACTGGAACCATGTGAGGACTTATTAGAAATACTAAACTCGGAATATCCTGAACGTACAATTTTAGAAGAAACACCAAATAGTGATACTTGTGATAATGCTAATTTAGAAATACAAAGTGGGGCACCAAATTTAATTTCTGACGTTGATTTACCAGTATCAATTGAGAATGAAATAGGGCTAGATAGCATTCAACAAATTGTCTCCATGGATGATCCCCTTCAACAAGAAACCATATATGAACATGTTGAGCAACATGTTAGTGACATAGACGAAAATTTTGTTAGAGAGGAGGATTTGCAAATTCCAATGAGTCCTACACTGGAAAGAAATAGATCTCAGCCTTGGAAATGGGAAATATGTAGGACCACTCATGATGTTCCAAATTTTAGCAAAAAATTTCAGCCAAAATCTGTATTCAATCATAAGACACAACCAATAACCATTTTTGAAAAATTCTTTCCAGATTATTTAATACAATTAATTGTTGAACAAACAAATCGATATGCTCGCTTTAAAAATAGTAAAAACATTACCCTCCTTCTTTGGCAGTCGGGTAAAAACTGGATTGAAGTCAATGAAGATGACATCAGAGCATATTTAGGTATTCTTATCCTAATGGGCTTAAATCCGTTACCAGACATGGAGCTTTATTGGTCAAACGATTCCTTCTATAATAATCCTGAAATTTCCCGTGTATTTCCAATAGTGAGATTCAAGAAAATAACAGAAAATTTACATCTGAATGACAGTAGCATCGAACCACCGAGAAATTCACCACATTTTGACAAATTATACAAATTAAAACCCATAATTACAACATTAATGATGAAACTCAGCAACAACCATCCTAGGAATACACTTGTAGCGTTTGACAATTTCTTCACTGGTTGCAATTTATTAGAACAGCTATATGATAAACATATTTATGCTGTAGGAACGGTAAGATCAAATCGAAAAGACCTCCCAGAAATGATGAAGAAGCAACCAAAAGCGTTAAGACTACAAAAGCATCAATTCTCGGCTATGACATCAGAACCTATTACCGCAATAAAATGGCTTGACACAAAAGAAGTCACATTGCTTACCACAGCACATCAACCATTGGACATCACGTATGTAAAAAGAACTCAAAAAGATGGGTCAAGAGTAGAAGTTCTATGCCCAAAAGCAATTGCTTCTTACACAATGAGCATGGGCGGGGTGGATCTATTTGATCATTATAGATCCTCTTACCCAATCAATAGGAAATCACGCAAGTTTTGGATGCGTCTTTTCTTTTTTATGTTTGATGCATCCATCATCAATTCATACATAACGTACAGTGTAACACATGCCATAACACCACATTCACACCGTGAATTTAGACTACGTTTGGCACGTGCGCTAATAAACAATTACTCTCAAAAAAAGCACGCCCAAATATACCCTTTACAAGCAAGAAAGGAGGCCCATTCGGAGTGCCGGAAGAGATTCGGTTATCGAATGTAGGTATACACATGCCCCAAGAGAGTAACACTTATAAGAGATGCCGGTTCTGTAGCACAAGAAAACGAGAGAAAAGGACAAAAATTGTATGCTCCACTTGCACCGTACCTCTATGCATCAAGGAATGTTTTGAAAGGTTCCATACTACTGAAACTGAATAGACTAGTCTATTCGTATTTGTATTTTATTTTTTAAATGATAAATGACAGACTGACATGAAAAAGATAGTCTGATCAATGTGATTATAGAAACAGTTCCTAATACGTAATAAGTATAAGTATAATTTCAAACAATATGAATAAAAAACTTCAATTATAATAATTTATTTTATTGACTACCCGAGTGCCGAAAAGTACAAACCAATACAAGTTACTTGCTACTACAAATTTATATCTAGCTAGAACTACTCAACTAAAAATGTATGGTGAAGTCATTCATTTTCCAATTTTCGAGTTTTTCTGAGAACTGAGAAGTGTGCGGACAAAAATATGTAACAGGCAGCATTATTATACCCATTACTACCGGACTAATATCATCAGTGGAACTCATAGAAACTTATAATCATCCTATAGCCGTGCAAATGTTACAACAAGATTTAATAGGTGCCTTAAAAAACAGATTCTTCAATTTAGATCGAAGTCGAACTTTCACACTCTGCATGTTCTTAGATCCTAGATTCAAGCTTTATTTTGAAGACCAGCATGTAGCTGAAAGTACCAAACAGCACGTAATACAACTAGTTGCGTCTCTAATCAATAAAACCGACCAAGATCAGACTCGCCCAGAGGAAACTGACCAAGTAACAGATCCCTCCGAAACTGCTAATCAAAGCACTCTATGGCGGCACTACACAGAAAAAATGAAAAATATTCAACCAAAAGGAACTGCGCAGTCAAGGGCCATAGTGGAAGTGCAGAGGTATTTGGAAGAGAAACTTGTGATGCCAGGTGAAAAGGTTTCACCGCTTGACTGGTGGAAACAGCGCAAAGCAAGCTATCCGAATCTTTATCATCTAGCTGTCACTAAACTTAACGCAATGGCAACGAGTGTTCCTTGTGAACGGCTATTTTCGGCATGTGGAATCAGTGGAATCCT